CAGTGAGAAGCAGAAGAGGCAGATGTACTGAAATGCACTGCCGAGGGGAGCAGCAGGCAAGACAGGAGAGGTCTCTTGTGCCATGTGGTCACCTCCCTGGTGGGTGATCCAACTCGTGCTGCAGTGGCTCCAAATAGTTTCATAGTTCTGAGACTTAACCCCTTGTGCCATCAGGAAGGCCCCTGGGTTTTATTCTTAAGAAATGTTGTCAGGAGGGGTTGGTTGAGCACAAGAAAGGCTGGGAGAGTGGGCCACCATGTTGTTGGACTTAGGGGGTCAGGACTTTGTCACTAATTCCCAGTGTGTCCTATCAAGATGTTTGAGTTCTACGAGCGAGTATCTGGGGCACGGATGCATGCTGCCTACGTCAGGCCAGGAGGTGTGCACCAGGTGAGCAGGCTTCCACCTCCCTGAATCCATGCCTGTGGGCTCCTGGTGGCCACTGGGGGGCAGCGCTGGCTGGCGGGACTGCTGATTCTGGAGCCCTGGGGGAGGCTGAAGCCTTCCTCTTCAGTGCTGGCTCTTGGACTCAGTGTCACTGCCCATTTGACTGTAGGACCTACCCCTGGGACTGATGGATGACATTTATGAGTTTTCTAAGAACTTCTCTCTTCGGATTGATGAGGTGGAGGAGGTAAGGGTTGGGATTCGTCCCTTTCTTCCCCCAAGAAGGACTTGTTGGGGCTGCGTGTCCCTGGTTGTAAAGAAATATGAGGGGTTTGAAGGCTTTTGGGAAAAGTGTTCACCTGCCAGTTGTCTTGGTTCACAGATGCTGACCAATAACAGGATCTGGAAAAACCGGACGGTGGACATTGGGGTTGTGACAGCAGAAGATGCACTGAACTATGGTTTTAGGTGGGAGGAATCAGACTTCTCTTAAGTTCATCTCTCCTCAGGGTGGGGGAGCTCAAAGGCTTACATCTCGACTTCAGGACTTTGGCACCTTCCTTGCCATGCTCTGAGTCTAAACCTATGCTGGGAGTGTGGGGAAGGCATGGGGAGACCGAGGGAGAGAGTGTGCCACCTTTCTTGGTTTGTGGGAGGGACCCTCATTTCTACTACACACTCCCCAGTGGGGTGATGCTCCGGGGCTCCGGAATCCAGTGGGACCTGCGGAAGACCCAGCCCTATGATGTTTACGATCAGGTGGAGTTTGACGTTCCTATTGGCTCTCGAGGGGACTGCTACGATAGGTAAGACCCTGCTTAGCTCGCTGTCTGGCTAGCTTCCCTACCTTTTCTCTTGGTTCCTTCTTCTCTACCATACTTTTCCGTATCTGCTTGGGCTTTTGTATCTGTTAAACTAGGCTGCCTTTCAAAGCACTCTAACAAAGGTGACACTTTTTTTTTTTTTTATCCTGTATCATACCTGCGTCCTAAGTAGAATTCATTTTGACTGTATTTTTAAAGATTTATTTATACATACAAGAGCTGGGGTACAGGCCAGAGGTTCAGGGGGGGTGAGAGGATTCACCAAAGACAGAGTGGGGAACAAAGCAGGCAGATTGAGTGAAATACACTGCTGAGGGGAGCAGGAGAGGTCTACCGTGTCATGTGGGTTAGGTCCCTGGTCAGGAATAGAACTTATGGTGCAGTGGCTGTGGATAGCCATAGCACAGTGCTTTAACCCTTGTGCCACCAGGGAGGGCCCCATTTTGACTGCATTTTACAGTTGAGAAAACTAACGATAAAACTTGAGGATAAAAATTAGAGATTAGCTCTTTCTGCCATCTTGGATCCTGTGGCAGCCTGATGGGAATGGGCTTCTATAATGTGGTTAGAAGGCCATTTTTGCTGACTATCTCCAGAACCAGAGGGAACATGTAGCTCTTCAAACTGAAGGTATTAAAAAAAAGTCTTTATGCTCACCTAGACGAAAACTAGACTCTGTCTAGACCAGAGATATGCTTATATGTACAAAGAATTGCACAGTGACTCCTGGTGGCCAGTGGAATAAAACTAGAGTCATCTGGGAGAAGGTGACACATGCATCATGGCGACAGTGGCATGGTTTGTGCCAACTTCTGAAGCAGCCTTCCCTTTTTTTTTTTTTTTAATTAATATATTTTTAAAAATATTTAAGAACCCTCCCTGGTGGCTCAGTGGGTTGGAACATAGCACTGCGAAGCTAGCCGTGGCCATGTGAATGTGAGTTCTATCCCCAGCCATGGAGGTGACCCACATGGTGTGTCAGACCTCTCCTGACCTGCCCGCTACTCCCCTCAGCACTATAATTTGTCAGTCGGCCTGCTCCCCACTCTGTCTCTGGTGAATTTTCTCATGGCCTATATGCATAAATAAATAAAACCTTTTAAAAAATTTATTTTGTAGAACTGGGGTGTAGGCCAGAGTTGTGGGGTGGGGGGCAGTGAAAGGATTCACCAGAGACAGAGTGGGGAGCCGAACAGGCAGATCAATGAAGTATACTGCTGAGGGGAAAGCAGGCCATTTTGACTGCATTTTACAGTTGAGAAAACTAAGCATAAATCTGAGGATAAGTCAGAGAAAGCAGGCCAGACATGAGAGATCTGCTGTGCTATAATGTGGAATAGCTCCCTGGCCAGGGGTCAAACTCAGGCCATAGGAAGCCCTGGGCCACCAGGAAGCCCTGAAGCAGCCTTCCTATTAAGGCCACAGGATACAGAATCTATGTGCTGATGTACCCTTGAAGGATTTACACTTATTGGAAAACCAATAAGTGGTCCACTTCTCTTCTTTTAAAAAGAGAGATTAGCTTAGATGGGACTAGATTAATGTTAAAGGTGGGACTAGAATCTTGATCCATTGCTCTTTTCACTAGATTCTGAGCTCCTGATTCCATTCCTGTTTACTCACCCTAAGATTTTTGAATTTATTTGCTGTTCTGTGCAAAATATGTTTTAGTGGGTAAACAAATAGGGAAATACTGTGCATGGTCTAGAAAAAGTAGGGGAGGGTTTGGGGAAGGATCCATGGTGACAGTCAGGAAGTTGCAGACTGTGTGGTGGCCTGGCAGAGCGACATGCTGCATGGGGAGAGGGAGTGAGGGCTGTGCACCGGGCGCGCTCCAGGTCAGCCCCCCCGTCCTGCCCAACCCGGTGAGCTGTTCTGGACTGCTTTCTCCGGTCTTGCTGTCTCATCTACAGGTACCTGTGTCGGGTCGAGGAGATGCGCCAGTCCCTCCGAATCATCTTTCAGTGTCTGAACAAGATGCCTCCTGGGGAGATCAAAGTTGATGATGCCAAAGTGTCTCCACCTAAGCGTGCAGAGATGAAGGTCATCTGCGGGGAAGGAGCAGTCTGGGGTGGGGGCTGGCAGCCAGAAGTACCTTGAATTCAGTTGGACTTTTCTGTTTTCAAATAGCTCATTGTATAGATTCTTAACCTTCTACAGCCTCCTTTCTTACCCTGCATCTCCTTTGCTCTCTGACTTGCATGTGGGTTTCAGTCTCTCTTGAGAGTAGCGATTATTTTTGTGCTTGGAGAAGACTGTTTAGGTCTGGCTCAAACAGATGCTCCCTTCTTCCTCTCTCCAGACATCTATGGAGTCCCTGATACATCACTTCAAGTTGTATACTGAGGGCTACCAAGTTCCTCCAGGGGCCACATACACTGCTATCGAGGCACCTAAGGTTAGCAGAGAAGTGGGAGGGAAGGGCAGTGTGTGGGGAAGGACCGGGATGGGTGGTAGTGAATGCTTGCTCGTTAGTGGGGGAGGGCATGAGAGTGAACAGAGAGATTTTTCTTGGCAGACAAAGTGTCCTTCCTATTAACGGAAACTGTTACCTCCTTCCTTGGACAGGGAGAGTTTGGAGTGTACCTAGTGTCTGATGGCAGCAGCCGCCCTTATCGATGCAAGATCAAGGCTCCTGGTTTTGCCCACCTGGTAAGAAACAGTCTCTGTTAGAATCCTGACTGAAACAAATAAGTCCAGTCATTATTGACCTTAGTCAAAATTTTTATAAACTTTCCTTCCCTTTCTCCCCTGCTCATCTTTCCTAATTTGTTCTGTTTCCATTTCTGCAGGCTGGTTTGGACAAGATGTCTCAAGGACACATGTTGGCTGACGTCGTTGCCATCATAGGTACAGTTGTTCTGTGGTAGGGGCATCCTAGGCCGGGGGCTTTGAGGGGACAGAGACAGAGCACATCCTGTTCAGCAGAGACTCGAGCATGGACTTAGCTCTGTCTCTTGGGCATGGTAGTGGGTTCTGGATCCTTTATAGTAACACTTTCTTCCTCCTCCCCCTGACATCTTAGGTACCCAAGACATCGTGTTTGGAGAAGTAGATCGGTGAGCAGGTGAACAGAATTTGCCTTGCCAGTCAGTTTCCTTCGTGGAGTGTCAGCATTTGGATGGGACGTGTGTGTATGTGTATGTGCACATACATAAACACTTGGCTGTCAGGCTTTCTGCGCATGTCCTTAGGAAAAGAGAACTTAACAATAAATTAGCCGCCCTGCGGTCCCTCTGCCCAAATTTCTATTGTCTTGTCGTCTTTCACTTTGAGGGGAATCTCGAGTGTTTGTTAACGTTCCACTTCTCTATTACACTCAGTTCTTAGCAATTTTTCCTGCTCATCTCCACCCCTTCTCTGACTCTTGTCCTTTCCACTTCTCCATTCCCCATTTCCTCTTTTCCCCCCTCAGCTTCCCCCTACCTTAAGCCTGTGGCCCACACAATTTGGTACCCTCCTCGGTCAAGACAGGGGCTAGAGTCCAGATTGCTTGAAAAGGCAACGGAGGGTTTTTGGGAACCTTGAGTGGCAAAGTGTCACCATGTAGCTCCTAACAGGGTGGCGTGAGAGGGCCGATCTTGTCAACCCTTACTGGTATGGGAGTCTCCATGCGACTTGGAAGTCGGAGTTTGGTCGTCCAGGGACTCAAGTGTAAGTGCCCAGCTCTCCTAACTCTCTTGGTTTTGGCCCTTCCGGGCGCCGCCCGGCCTTAAGTGCAGGAAGGGGAAGGGGCCAAAGCTGGGGGAAGGCGTGGCAGGAAGGGGGGAACTCTGTGGTCAGGGAGCCTCCGCTGAGACAGCTGCGCAGTGTTGTCAGCGTCTGCCCGGCTCTGGCCCCTCGGCCTCCCGCCCAAGATGATTCCTGCGGTGGCCTTGCTCTTACTTCTGCTGGTTGAACAAGCAGGTGAGAGGGTTCGATGAGGACAGCGAGCGAGACTCCAGGGTGGGAAGGAAGGCTTGGGTCTGGGGGCCAAGGCAGATGGCGGAAGATAAAGCGGTGGGTGGTTGGGCGCTGACCGTGGGGCTAGTCCTCTCCAGTCTCCCTCAGGGCACAGGTCTGTCCCCACCTTTCTTTTCCTCTTCACGTTTTCAGGATAACGTGGGGCACTTCAGTTGGGCAGGGGAGGAGGGGGCTGGTTCTTTGACTCAAAAAAGCTGGTTTGGGGTACGGCACCACTTCCCAAGCTCAACATCATGGAGAGCTGGTTGGGAGCTGGTCTCCAGGTGGTTAATGACGTTTCTACGGCCCCTTCAGGAAGGCTGCTATCTGTCCATGTGCTTGGGGGGGATGGGAGAGACAACGGCTTAGAGATGAACAAACCCAATTGCTGCCTCTGGGGTCTGTACCAGGCACCAGTGAACCGTATTCTGTCAGCAGTTGGCCTGAGGTGGGGCAGCAGCAAGGGCCCAGTTCTAGAGCCTGGGCATTCCTAGGAACAGGAGCAGTAATGGGGAGGCGGCAGCTGCTCTTAAGGCCTGTCGTTAACGAATTCACTTTTTATTCTGGCTCCTCTTTACTGCGAGGGGATGTGTTTTGAAGAGGGAGGGTTGCAGCTACTGTTGGGGTGAAAGGGGTTCATGAAACTGGGGAAATGGGAAGAGAAGACAAGGCCCTTTGTGTAGCCAGCGGTGACTAGTGACTGGCGGGAGGGATTTGCTGCTGCCATGAGCTGAGGTAGTGTCATGCCGGACCCAGAGAACAAAATACACTGGCTTTGTAAGGATTGCTTACCCTGGGACTGGGCCTCTCCGGTCGCCCTTGGGGCTGCCTCTTTGAGGTAGCTGGAAACAAGCTACTTAGCTTTTCCAAGTCTTGGTTTCGTTATTTGTAGGTTAATGGTGATATTTCCACACAGGGTGTTTTTCAGATTTGTGCAGTATTTTTCAGGGAAAGAGTTGCAGAGAATAAAAAGTACTTTATCTCACTGGTCACATGCCCTTGAGCTCTTCTGATAGGAGCCTGAGCAGATGGGAGCCCAGACCCTCTGATTTTTTTTTAGTTGCACAAGATTTCCTCTCTCCGAAGCAGCTAGGCTAAGGCGTGCTGGCCCAGCCTGTGGGCAGTCGTTGGTGTTTAAGGCCTGGGAAAGCAGTCTCTTTGTTGTAAGTGTTGGGTGGTGGGACCAAGTGAGGAGTCCAAGTTCAGATAATGACCAGTGCTGGAGTAATTGTTTTCTCTGCCTGCCCCAACGCACATCCTTCCTGTCCAGCCCTCAGCCACAGGTCACAGGACTTAGCAGAGACATCTGTGGTTTCTACACTGAAGTTCATCACTGCCTCCCTTCCCCCTCCCCTTTGGGCTGAGGTTGTGGTCTCAGTCCAGTGAACACAAATAGGTCCCCTGAGAGCTGTACACACACGATATACCTGAGGAACCGCAGTGCTACAGAGAGGCTGGGGCTGCAGCAATAGAAGTTCCAAGGAACAGAACCTCTCATGTTTCCTCACTGCCCCAACCTAGGGGGAGGGAGAGACTTAGCTCCTTCCCTGGAAAGTTTCCCTAGGCCTTCAGCTACTTCATGGAGCCCATTCCCCCTTCCCTCTTCTCTGAGACCAATTATCCCCTGACCCCTGACCCCATGGGCACCTGTGTTCTCAGAGGCCCTGGGAGAACCTGAACTCTGCTACATCCTGGATGCAGTCCTGTTTTTGTACGGCATCATCCTCACCCTGCTCTACTGTCGACTCAAAGTAAGTCAGGGGGCACAGGGGTGAGCGGACAGCAGTGACGTCAGAAGTGGGAGGGTGCTGGCAGCCTGGATCCGGGAGGGAATAATGGAGGGATTTCCCCTTTTGGGGGAAGGGCATGGGCCACTGACTGCACCTTTACTAATGACCTTTGCCCTTCTCAGATCCAGGTTCGGAAGGCAACTGTCGCCAGTTATGAGGTATAGACCAGCAGGGGCCCTCACCCCAACCTAGGTGTCAACAAATCATCCAAATCAGCCCTACTGGGGCTTTAGCCATGTGGTGTGTGGCCTCTGGGAGGGATGAGTCTTTGGCACTAATCAGTATGAGTGTCAGAAGCTCCCTTCCATATCCCCCTACCTGCCCTGCCACCCAGCTGAGTTACACAGGTGGCAAGGTAGAGCCCAGTGCAATGAATGTGTGAGAGTTGTTTGGGGTTTGTGTGTGTGTGGGTAGCCTTGTGGGCAAATGTGCATCCATGCCCCCAGAGTATCCAAAGAGGTGTTCTCTACCCCAGCCACCCCTGGGTGGGGAAGATGCTGAAAGAGAGTGGATCTCTAATGTTTATCCTTTGTCCTCCCCAGAAATCAGATGGCATTTACACGGTGAGTAAACCCTCCTTACCCACCCACCCCAATTCCAGGAAGTTAATGCAAAAGGGTGGCATTTCCAGTGACCTTTGGAAGGGGTAGGGTCTTAGGGGGTTGATTGGGGCCCTGTGATGGATTCAGGTTCATGACTTTTCTCTGACCTTCACCTCCAGGGCCTAAGCACCCAGAATCAGGAGACTTACGAGACCTTGAAGCATGATAAACCACCACAGTGACTGTAGGACAGACACCTTTGGTCCCATTCTTCTGATCCTGGTCCTTTTCCCAGCCCACATGGTGGCATCAGAGATGCCTTTATACTCTAATGTGATGATGCTACCCCTGTGATGATGCTCTGCCCCCTGTTAATGGACCTCAGCGGTTCCTCCTTCCGTCAAGGACCTTTGCTCAGATGCTATTTGTTAATGTTGTATTTTAGTCTCACTCCTTGACCCCTGCCCTCTCCTCTCTCCCACCCTCAATCCCACTAACAATGGAAAGGGAGTGCCACGAATAAAGAACTATAGACCGGCTCTGCTCCTTCAATCATTTCTCACATACTGATTCTGCTTGCACCAGACCCAGGCTGAGAGTTGAAGGTGCCACTCTGGGTAAGGCAGACATCACTCCTGACCTTAAAGGGCCCCCAGTCTCTAGATTTCAGGACTTTTTTTTTTTTTTAAGATTTATTTATTTATGCATTCATAACTGGGGTATAGGCCAGGAGTGGTGAGAGGATTCACCAGAGGTAAAGCAGGGAGCAGGACAGGCAGATCTGTGAAGCACATTGCTGAGGGGAGCAGCAGGCAGGTCAGGAGAGGTCTGCTGTGCCATGTGGGTCAGCTCCCTGGCCGGGGATCAAACTCACAATGAGGATGAAGCAGCTGCAGCGAGCTTCAAGGTGCTGTGCTTTAACCCATTGTGCCACAAGGGAGGGCCCAAATGTTTTTCTCAGAGAGGCATAGAATGAATTCTGTGCCTGGGGAAAGGATGGCCTTTGACCCCTAGTTCTCTGGCATGGAATTGGGTAGGAGCCTAGGTACATCCAGAGTTATTTAAACCTAATAAATAACCTCTGTACCCAGCCTGGCCTTCTGTGTTCGAAAATTGATTCAGTCTTTGGTAATGGATGTGTTGGGTAAGGCAAAGTGGATGCACTGGGGAGGTCCAGTTGGGAGGTCAGCTTCTAGGAGCACAGGGTGAGCTTCCCAGTCCCAGGCCTAGTCTCAGTCCCACTAGGAAGTAGGATCCCTTGGCAGTATGTGATCCCCACCAGAAGCTGCCGGCCCAATCTGACACAGGAGCCCTGTCAGTGTGGGTTTTGAATTCCAGGATCTTACCTGAACATCCGTGCTGGGCAATACTTCCCACAGCAATCTGACTACACTCTCCACTGCATAACCATTCCACCCACTCTCTAACCCATGAGGAAGCACAGGCTCTTTGAAATTAATTAATTTAACTTAAATAAAACCCATCCAAAAACCACTTTGCAAGTGACAGGCTAAGATCTTCTATTCCTAGATATTTTGGCACATGAGTGAAAAATAGACTTGGGAAGAAAGGGGAGCAAGGTAATCATGAGATATGAGGGGCTCATGTTCGGGCAGAAGAGACTGGATGATGAAGACATTGGAGCTACTGCTGCTGTTTCTGGGGAAGAGGGGTCTTCAGATGAGAGAGAAGTCAGGGTGGGAGGGGGTGGGAAGTGACTTTGAAAGTGGGAACAAGCTTTTATGGGAAAATGCCTCATTTTCCCACCCCAAACTTGTCCTACAGTTTGGAATTATGAGTCTGCCCCCATCAAACCAGCCTGATTTCCACCCCATCTTGACTTATTACACTTTCCCAAATTTCTCTGGAACCACCTATCCAGTCTTTCACTGCTATAATGGCTACTAGTTCTAGGCTCTGAGCTGGCTCTGAGCTGACTCCCAGCCCAGACCTGTGCGTAGTGTCAGGAAGAGACTTTGTGTGGTGTCCCTAGACAGTGGGGTTAGGTGAGACATTTTCATGATAGGATTAGATCACTTCCCAGAATGTTCAGGAGCAAATTCTGAGGGGAGCCTTCATTTCCTGTGATTCCCCAAGAGTCTACCTACGGATTCAGATTCTTCCACAGCCTATGTCTAATCAAATACTTGTTAGTCTCCAGAACTCCCAGGCCTATGGGAAGATTCCTTGGATTTGGAGATAAATCACCAGCATCCCTCCTCTGGCATTCTTAGCATTCTTTTCTCCACCCCTCTCTCTGTCCCTGACCTCCAAAACCCTCTCCTATTAACAGCATATTTTCCTTGGTCCTTCCTCCTCCCCCGGCTCCCCACAGTTTCCAGTTCCCAAACACATGAGGCTTACAACTTGACTCCTTATATTTATTATAGAAAACAAGGAGAGAGTGGGGCAAAGTGCTCCAGACTTGGCCAAGAGTGTTCTAGGGGCCAGCTGGGGCCAGCAGGACAATGGCCCCCTATACCTCACTTGGTAGGCGCGGGTGCTTTGCTTTCCATGAAAATGCTAAAGAAGTTATACAGTTCTGTTTCAACCTTCTTGGCCAGGGGTGTCAGCTGCTCCTGAGTCTTCTCAAGGTAGGCCCTGGAGAGATGAGGGATTTCATGCTACTAGCAGGGACCCGAGGCACTGGCAGGGTCTCATTGAAGGTGGGCAGTTGGACCCAGGATCCCAAACTCTAGTGCCTGGTCCTTCCTGCTATGGCAAAGCCCTAGGAGGAAAGGCAAGCCCTCCAGGGGGCAGAGGAGCAGACCAGAGTGACATTAAAACCCAGTTTTTGCTGCCCTGATGGTCCAAGAGGCCACGCAATTGCATCACGAGGATGGAAATTTTCTCTCTATTTAAATGTAACCTCCCTACCGCCCAGTCATCTTTGGGTATCCGATGGTTCCTTTTTTGTGCTGTGGTCCACAGTCCCTAACCCACTTTCCCAGAGACTTACTTGGCTTGATCCTGAAGCTCGTGGGCCTTGGCCTTCTCCATTAACTCCTTGCCGTAGTCAGCCACAGTCTGGAAGTACTGAGAGAACAGCGTGGGCAGACTTGACTCCTCCGCCTGTCTCCGAACCAGTGCCCCTGCAAGCACATGCACACATGTACACACACCCTCAGCTGGGCCCCAGACAGCCAGGCCTGGCTGCCTGCATGCTGCCAGTACCCCGTCCCAACTCTCAGTTCCCTCCCCAAACTAGTATCTAGTTCCAGGACTTTGGGTGGGCTTTCTAGCTCTGAAGAGAGACAGGTCTCTCTTATGAGCACTCTGGTGGCCAGACATGGGCTTAAGAATGCAGGCAGATGGATAGTTAAGACCCCCAGTGTTTCCTCCTCCTGGGGGTCTCTTCTCCATATTATACTCACCTTCAAGGCTACAGATGGTGATGAGCAGCACAGTTAAAGCAAGCAGCTTCATGGTGGTGATGGAGGGGAAGATGGCCTGGGAACAGTTGGAGGCAGGGGAGGACATTGAAACTGAGTGGGCTTCAGTCCCTCCCCAGGGATCTCATCACCCAGGGGCCCACTCCAAACCAGTTTCCTCCCTTCCCACTATTAACATCTAGTCTTCTTTGGATGCTGTCCATACCTCTTGCTCTCTCACCTTACCAAGGCAGTGTGTGTCCTGGCTGGCTGTGCGTAGCCTGGCTGGGAGTCGGGGGTTATATACCTGTTTGTCTCCCCACCCACTGTCAGGCCACTGGAGGCGTCCAGTGGGGCAGAGGCCATGTTGGAGTAAACAAGTTGAAGAAATAGGGGAGGAGAGGACAAGCACATAGGGGCCTCCTGGCGATGGGGAGGAGGGGTAGGGGCTCGGGACACAGATCTTAAGAGAGACCACTTCTGGCTTATTGGAGATGCATTCTGCATTCTGTGGGAGTCTGGGGTGGTAGTCCTGGGTGTGGGGTGTGGAGTGCTACGGGGCAGACTAGCAGGAGTTCTAGTTTTTCTCAAAGAAGGCCTGACCGAGAAGCCCCCAGCCCTTTGTAACTTTGCCTCTTAGGGGCATATTTCATTGCTCCAACCCTTCCTTGCCTTCGCTGCAACTTGCCAGAGGCCTTCAGGAACATAAGAAAGGAGAGAGGAGCTGAAATTGGAGGCAGGGGGAAGGGTAGGGCCAGAGGGCAGATGTGACAGATTCTGTACTTTTTTGAGTTAATGTGTAATGAGATGGGGGAGAAAACTAGTGAGCCCAGAATGACCCTCCAGGGTACTAGCCAAAGAGCACACTCTACCTACCCCCAATAAAACAAATTCAGAAAACAGCCTGCCCTCCCCACCTCCCGAAGCTGGAGGGCTCTGGCAGGGAAAGGAGGAAATGAGAAGTTTCTATCAGGATAAAAGTTGAAGGTCACTGGTCTTACAGGTTCTAAGTGGTGGTCAGCCAGTATGAGTCAGCAGGGGCTGTGGCATCACTCAGACCAAGGCCGCAGTCCCGCCCCAGCTCCCATGGTGAGAAGGCAGAGCTACATTCCCTAAGCTGGAGGTCTCTAGGTGAAACCATCTCGATGGATATCAGAAGCAGCTGTTTGTGTACCCTCTTGCCCTAGGAATTCCCCAGAAATGAGAGAATTAAGAAAGCCAGAGAGGGCGGGCTAGCTCTCTTGGAGATCTCCCTTTCTCCAAGAAATCTCGCTCTCCCTTCAAGTTGTCCCCTACTCAGTACCTGGCACTTAGAGTGCGCTCTATTGACTTGCCCTTGGCCCAGGGGTGGAGGGCATTTGCGGGTGGAAGTACATATTCCTAGCTTTTTGGCCAATTCTGCCTGGGGAATTAGGAAGGAAGGAATAACTACAAGGCAGACAACTCTTTCAGGGAATGGTTCTGCCACAACTATGCCTGCAGCCCCAGCTTTGCAGCCCACACCCATTCCTATTCGACCAAGAGGGCAAGGGAGAAGTCTGTAGATTCCAGGAGGGAGGTGTGGGTGCATGTCTCAGGAGAACTGTGCTTGTGAATGGTACTCATTTGGAGGAATACTGTGAGGGCGCCGTGAGAAGGCTCCCCAGGAGCACGTGAGTGGGGTGGGGTGGGGGTGGAGAAGACAAGTCATGCGAACACGGGTTCCAGAGCAGCGTTTCGAGAGTCTTCCCTTCACTCTTTACGGATTGGGCCCCCACACTCTCTGATGGGGGCATCCTCAGGGGCTCAGGCTGCCAGGAGCTCTCCCTCGTGTCCGCACACCACAGGCCTCGACCTTGGAGAGCTTGGGCCATCTACTTTGAGCACAGGAGTTACGTCCACGCCCGCCGGCTTCTGCAAAGTCGGGCTCAGAGGTCACTAGATGATAGGCCTGCCACTCCTTTGCTTCCAGTTCGCCCATTGGTCCCCCGGAGACCAGGAGGCTTTTTTTTGTTAATTGATTGGGCGGGGCCCAATCAGGGGAGGATCGTGTCTTTGATCTCTTTCTGCCCTTTTCCAAGATGGCGCTCACGCCACGCTGGAAATGCAGCGTGAAGCCGCAGTTCTGCCATTACTCAAGATGGCTGCCCCCATCAAGATGACCGGGGTGTGCCGGGGGGAAAGGGGCAGCACAGTGGTCTGAGACGGTAAGGGCTACCGCTGCTTTGCAAGCCTCGCCTTGCGGCCTAGGAATTAAGAGGAGAAAGTAGGGGCTGGATGAGGTCTGTGTTGGGGCTAGAATTAGAGTGTGGGGGAGGGGACGGGGTGACAGGTGGGGAAGAGGGATCCGAGATGGGACAGGGTGGTACCTGGGGTACGTTCTCCCCTTTCCCCACACTTTTCCTTTTCCAGGTCTACCCACGGACCATGTGGAAGTTCCTGGGACTGGGGATCCGACTGATGGGGGGTGGGGTCCGTGGGGGCTAGAAGGAGCGAAAGCGTCCATTCCCAGGCTAACCCCGGCCCCTCCCCCGTTTCCTGGACTGAAATGGGGAACACGTTAGGCCTGGCACAGATGGGGGCCTTGCCTCGCCGGAGCCCCCGTCGAGATGAACCTCTGCCTAACCCTGGAAGCTTCGATGAACTGCACCGGCTATGCAAAGGTGGGAACTTGGCATTTGGGAGTCTCAAGTTGAAGGGGTGGAGGAGGGGAGGGTCTGGAAGGCTGGTGTCCAGTGATGGGAGTAGGGGGGATCACAGCGTGGCATCTAGCCTACAGAGAGGTGCAGGTGCTGGCATGAAGGGGGGCATTTCCTTGCAGACTTGAAAGGAGGCCAGTTCCTCCAAAGCACTTTCAATGGGATTGAAAGGAAAGAATCCTCAGGGCAGGGGTTCTTGCCTATGCTTGCTTACTCCTTCCCTCCTTCTCTGCTCCGTTCAGATGTATTCCCAGCACAGATGGAGGGAGTGAAGCTCGTTGTCAACAAGGTTCTGAGCAGCCATTTCCAGGTGCTCCCACTTCTCTGTCTCCCCTTTGCTATAATTCCCCCCCTATCCCTGGGTCCCTTTTTCCATTCCTGTGTCCTCCAGCCTCAGTGAGGCTCTGTGGGCAAACGAGGGAGAATGTGGGACTCTATTTACTTCCCTTGCCTGTGGGACTTGTTGCTTCTCATCTTGTGCCCGTCTGTGTTGGAATATTGAGATCCCCATTTGTAAAAAGGCTTCTGGATGGGAACTTGGAAGACGATGAAGGGTGGCTATGGGTTGAAGGGGAGCAGGATGCACTCTCCATCATTGTCTGCTCTTTCCTCAGGTGGCTCACACTGTGCATATGAGTGCTCTTGGCTTGCCTGGCTATCACCTCCATGCAGCCTATGCAGGGGACTGGCAACTTAGCCCCACTGAGGTGAGGGCTCCACCTACCGCGGACACCTCCTTAAAGACCACCTGGGCCCCAGGTGTAGAGGAGGAGAAAGTGTGTATGTTCTGGGCAAGAATGGACAGGTACCTGCTCCCTTGTCTCTTCTGAGTGGGAGAGAGGAGGAGACGGCTTGTGCCATGCATGAGCACGGAGTTTATCTTATGGCTCCACTAGGGGGCGCTTGGTGATATTAAGAAATTCTATGTTTGGGTTTAAGCGGGTAGTTCAGTCCTACTCTCTGCTCCTCAACAGGTATTCCCCACTGTGGTAGGGGACATGGACAGCAGTGGCAGCCTCAATGCCCAGGTCCTGTTCCTCCTGGCGGAGCGGCTCCGAGCCAAAGCTGTCTTTCAGGTACCCCCTGCTTCCTGCCTATATCTGTTGGAGAGTTTCCTTTCTTCTCTCTGAGTACCCCACCCTGGGTGGAGGGGGATAGTGATCCGAAAGAGGGGAGCATAGTTTACCCCTCGCTGTCCTCACCCAGACGCAGCAGTCCAAGTTCCTGACTTGGCAGTTTGACGGCGAGTATCGAGGAGAAGACTACACAGCTACCCTGACCCTCGGAAATCCTGACTTGATTGGGGAATCAGGTGAGAAGTTGGGGCAGAGGCCTTTTTACCCTTGTGCCCATTGGCTAAGGGTGTTGGGTTCTTTTTGTTGTGTGTCCAGTTCCATAGTTAGAAGAGAAACTTCTTGCGCATACTGAGGTAGGGTTCCCGAAGTGAGGACAAGCCAATGACTGACCCCATTTTTCTCTGCTCCTCCACAGTGATCATGGTCGCTCACTTCCTGCAGAGCCTCACTCATCGGCTGGTGCTGGGAGGAGAGCTGGTTTACCACCGGCGACCAGGCGAAGAGGGGGCCATCCTCACACTGGCGGGGAAGTACTCTGGTATGGGGTAAAAAGGAATAGTGAAGGGCTAGGGAAGTTCTGGACCTCACTGAGGTTCTTGGCCTATGCCCTTCTATGTGACATTCCTTTTCTCTATCTTTTGGTTTTCACAGCTGTGCACTGGGTAGCAACATTGAATGTGGGATCAGGTGGGGCCCATGCAAGTTATTACCACAGGGCAAATGAACAGGTAAGAGCGCAAACCTCATCACCCACTGTAGCAGGTTGGCTAGGAATGTATTCCCTGCAGACCTGTGAGGTCTGGCTGACTTAGTCTTTTCCTTCCTATACAACACATGATCCCATGCATGCTTTCATTCTGCTAACTCCCTTTAGCCTTTACTAGTATGACCCCTAAGTCCTCCTTGCTCGTGGTTCTCAGGTTCAGGTTGGAGTGGAGTTTGAAGCAAATACAAGGTTACAAGACACAACCTTCTCCTTTGGCTATCACCTGACTCTGCCTCAGGCCAACATGGTATTTAGAGGTGAGGCTTATTTTATTTATTCATTTATTTATGCATACAAGAACTGGGGTGTAGACCAGAGGTGTATGTGTAGCGGGGGGTGGGGAGGCAGAGGATTCACCCGAGACAGAGTGGAGAGCAGAACAGGCGGATTGACTGAAACACACTGCTGAGGAGAACAACAGGTGAGACAGGAGAGGTCTGTTACACCATTTGGGTCAATTCCCTGGCTGGGGATTGAACTCATGTTGACAGTAACTTAACAGTGCTGAGACTTAACCCTGAGGTAAGGTTATTGAGGTGCTATTTGGAGGGGCTGAGGGATCAGGCAGCCTCACTTTGTTTCTGCTGACACCTTTCTTCAAGTTCTGTTAAATAGCCTGGTCTGTATTCTCTTTCTCTACAGGGTTGGTGGATAGTAACTGGTGTGTGGGTGCTGTACTAGAGAAGAAGATGCCCCCTCTGCCCGTCACCCTAGCCCTTGGGGCCTTCCTCAGTCATTGGCGCAACAGATTCCATTGTGGCTTCAGCATTACTGTGGGCTGAGGTTGTCCCAGAGTTCATCTCCACAGCAGCTGCCACCTCCAAGGCAGTGCCTGAGGGCCAGCGACTAGGCCTCTCTCCAGAGCCCACCTCACTGGGTGGCTAGGTCTGAGGAACAGAGTGGGGGACAGGACCCTGCCCTCTCAGAACTGTGTGTGGGGCTGCTATGGGGCAGCTGAGAGGCAGTGGTCTGAGGCCCTACCTCTGCCATCGGCCCCCTTGTCCTCTTCCCATGCTCTGTGGCTCTGGACTAAGGGAGAAAGATTAAGGGGTATGTCTGGCTGAATTTTCCCTCCTCATTCCCCTCCTTCATTTCCCTGTGGATTAAAGCTCTCAGCTCTTCCTCTTGAGAACAGAAAGTCTTCATAGGATTAGTTTCCCATTGTTTCCCATCTCAGGCTGAGAATGAAGGGCTACATCTCTGACCTCAGAAAGTGGGGCCACCCATTCCCTAAAGGAATTTCTGTATCCCTTTGCCCCGAGACTTTCTCCTTCCCCATCTTCTATATTTCCAGAGAATAACTGTGTCCCCGGGGGTCACCTTCCTGTATCCCCAAACCTGCCATGACCGCATGAAGAGGCAGTTATTGCTTTAGTCTTTTTTTTTTTCATTGTAACCCAGGCTCCCTTTCTGCTGGTCTCAACCTCTGGCCCCAGCAACTTCCCTGTTCCAGTCTGCTGTGTCCAGATGGGCTGGGGATGAACAGGCAGGCCTCAGCTGCAGATCTCCTGGAGCAGTGGCATCATGGCAGACAGCCCCTGGATGTGCTGGAGTTGGTACCCATATGCATTATTGATGCTCCGGAGCTCAGCCAGCAGGCCCAACAGTTTCGCATATAGAAACCTTTGGAGGAAGTAGTGGGGTCATCAGGGGAGCAGGATGGAAATAAGGTGGCTGAGATTCTGATAGTCCGGCGGTCCCAACCCTCTGAACTACCCCTCAGTGAAGCTGAATATGAACATGACAGAAAATCATGCTCTGGTATGACATATTTTTTAGAGGTTCCCAAGGGGCTTTTGTCTAGCACTGTTTTCTCACACCACGCCCAGTTTTTCTTGAACCCAGAACTCTGAAGGCCAAATGTGAAGAAAGCCATAGACTTGGACAGAACTTCAACTGTATGGAATCGTAGGGTTTGACCTAGAGCAGGTTCTAGAAAGGGGTTCTAGAAGGTGGGTGTGTTCTATGGCATAAAGCATACCTCTTCTGGCCAATCTGGTGGGCAAGAAAGAAATGGAACATACTCCAGAGCCAATAAGTCAAGGACTGTTGAGCCATCGACTTGCTTTGGCCATGATACTGTATGACCATAACTTTAAGAAGAATAAATAAAAAATGAAAGTAATTGGCCCATGGGAAAGGGAGAAGGGCCATGGAAAGAGAATGAAAGCAACTCTCAGGAGAGTTGGACGTTGAGGAACTGGCTGTCTTGGTCTCAGGAATGTTAAGAGCCTGTGAGCTACTTTGCATCTACTGAATAAAAAGAATCTGGAAAAAGTGAGATGAAGCAGTAATAGAGCAATTTGGATATTGGAACTACATGAGATGGGAGGGCAGCACTCGACCCCCAAGAAAGTGGGCTTCCCAAAAGAAAGGACAGTAAAAGGCATCCATTCTGAGCTCAAGGTCTGTCTGAAGGTGCAGCCCCCAACTCCCTGTCTCCCACCAAGCTTCCATCTCTGACTTTACCTATTCTGGGGCCTTGGTGGCTGGCCACTGATGTAGCTCTGTAGAGTCAGAGCCATCTCCTCCTGTAGCTGGTCAGTCTCTTCCCCCTGGGTGACCCGGGTTTGATCTGTAAGATAGGAAACTGGGAAGGATGCGGGAGGGGAGGTGGGGGCCTGGGGAAGGTCACACAGTGGCGGAGGGAGCTGAGGCCACCAGAAGCCCCTTCTGCAGTTTTGAAGGTTAAGGAGTTGGATAGATTCTAGGAGCTAAATGTGGGCAGTGGTAACAGGAAAGGGTGTTGGGATATGCTCACCAGGAGAGAAAAGGGACATGGCTGCCATGAGCACGTATTCGGGCTGCCGCAGCGTCCCCTGGAAGCGAAAGACCAACTCCAGGAACTCTTCCTGGAACCTCACTGTGGGAGATAGTAAGCGTAGATCCTCCAGGCCATCTCACACACCCCACCCCACAAGGACACCTGCCCTTCACTGTCTAGCACTACTCACTGTTGTGTAGTGAAGAGGCCCACAGAGGAAGTTCTAAGTTCGGAGACAGAAAGTGGTATTGAGTGTGATGTGACAGATTTCTACAGTTGCTCCCTTCAGGAGGGAGATCTGGTCCTCCATGGGCAGGGACCTTGGGGAACAGGAAACAAAGGCACTTTAGACTCTTGCCTGAACCTTCAGAGGTGGAGAGGAACCCCAGTCCTGAGGACAGATAAAAACAAAGCAGGGGCTTCAAGACTTGGGAAGGCTGAGGGGAGAATTGGTCAGAGCCCTTTGGGAGCACTTACCAGGTGTCTTTTCTTCTGAAAGGGACAGGGAGGTCACTCACTGGAAGAGGGGCAGGTTCTTGGTGAACCTGATAATTTGCTCGACCATGAAAGTGCTGAAGTCCGCAAAGTGTGCAAGCAGAGGGCGAACTGCGCCTGGGGTGGGCAAGGGTGGCGAACAGACAAGCAGATGAGCTGGAGGCTGCCGAGACCACAGCCTGAGCAAGAGGCCCAGCCCTGGGGCTCATCTTTAGGCCTCACCAGCCTATCTTGGGGGGACAGGCTGAGGAGCCTGCTTAGGCTGGAGTCTAGAAAAGTCCCGCCCTCTGTATGGGGGCCTGGCCCACCACCCCTTCCTTCATGCCAGCCTCCTTGGGACTTTGGGACACATTCCAGCTCCCAAGCCTCTGTGCTCACCTGGAACTGCACAAATTGGTCAAACATAGTGCCCACGTGGTGGCTGTGGGCCTCCAGGACAGACTGGGCCAGGGCTTTTTGCTCCTTACTCAGCAGCACAGCTGCACAGGTGCCTGCTATGCCCGGCCGCCGCCGCTGAGTCTGCTTTGGCCCCGCAATGCCAGAGCATCCGCTGATAGGATCACTAGGCAAGAGAGTCAACAACACTACTGAAAGCAGCAGCACACTCTGCGGCAGCCCTGGTGTGAGACCTGGAGATACGGTGCAGTGAGGGGCGAGGAGGAGGAGAAAGTGAGGACTCTGGGGCTGGGCAGGAGTCTCCTTGCCTGCAGTCCAAGGTCATCAAATACTTAAGTGTTGTAGACTAAATTCAAGCCAAAAGTTTTTGACTTCTCCAGTTTCCACTGCTCCATACTGAAATGTGTAATGTCATGGAAAAAGCTAAGGTCTGGGAGTCAGACAGAGGAGTTTGAATACAGTCTACAACCTTTTTTTTTTTTTTTTTTAAAGATTTATTTATTTGTACATACAGAACTGGGGTACAGGCCAGAGACTCAGGGGCAGTGAGAGACTTCACCAGAGACAGAGTGGGGAGCAGAACAGGCAGATCAACGAAGTACACTGCTGAGGGGAGCAGTGGGCGGGTCAGGAGAGGTCTGCCACGCCATGTGGTCTCCTCCGGGGCAGGCGGGAATCGAACTAATGCGGAAGTGGCTTTAGCTTCTCAGTGCAGTGCTTTAACCCGCTGCGCCACCAGGGAGGGCCCAGTCTACAACCTTTTAGCTGAGTGAACTTGGGCACCCAGTTGGGAGCAAAAGACCCAGTGATTTATCAACACTTTTCAAGCACCTATATGACAGGTGCTGTACCTGAGCCGAGCAAAGGCGAGTCCTAGAATGTCTAGGGGAGGAACACCGGATTGAGGGGCTGCCCCAAGTACACGCGCAGATCCAGAGGAGAGTGAGCCCACGTGCTGAGGGTGGCACGAGGTCATCGTGGCTGGAAGGCACGCAGCCTGGGCAAAAGCTAGGAAATAGTCTGAGGTGGTGTGGGCAGCTAGACTAGGGGAAAGAGATGCGGAGTCATGGCAAGTTTTGACATAATCCCACTTGTCTCCAAAATGTTACTCTGCCTGCAGTGTGGGGAATATGAGAACCAGGGCAAAGCAGAGCCTGTGGTCCGTGGGGCCTGGGGTGGGAGGGGCCAGCTCACTGTCCTTCATGCCAGCACTTAGGCACTTCTGCAACCGGCAGGCTGGGCAGTGGCGTCTCTGGGCCTTGTTGACCTTACAGCTTCCAGCAAAGGGGCAAGAGAGAGTGGTGTTTTTGTTGACTGTCCGTCTGTGAGAGACAGAGATGTGGGCGTGGGGTGACAATGCCCTGGTGGGGATGTGGGGGTGGGAAATGACACGTGCTGTGGGGAAATCTGAGCTGTGCCCGAAGGTCCTTAGGGTAGCTTCGAGACAAGGTGTTTCAGGCCTCTCCTTGAGGACCCAGAGTCACTCAGGAAAGTCTGGTTGATGCTGTGTGAGCTGGGTGCTTGCAGGTGGTGAGCACATAATAACATGCTCCTTTGACTGGGGGGTGGTACCCACAGGACAACACTTGGCCTTTCCTCTGTTATTATGCCACCTGTTTATCCAGCGTTGAAATCGGCCAGATGTAGCCTCAGGGGCACAGCCTCTGAGAGGAGGAACTAATGTAGCTGCACTAACCCGGGCATGTGCCAGGGCTTAAAGGTAAACACTCCAGGAGGTTGCTTCAGTTGGGGAAGAGGTTCTCACCTGAAGAAACCTTTGCAGCCCTCACACGTCAGGGCGTGGAAGTGATAGCCTGTGGCTCGGTCCCCACATACCACACAGTTCCTCGGCTCATCGTCCCCACTGGCCATGGCTTCTGGTGTTGGGGTGGTTGTCACAGGCCCCTGGATGTGGGAGCAATTAGCCATCAGCTCAGCGCGGGGGCCAGGGACCGTGGTGTTCCCTCTCCTCTTTCCCTTCCGCAGAGCTCCTTCGCTAGCCTTAGACTGACCCCCTGCCTTTCGCCTGTACTCTATTGCTTTCTGGTCCCCCAAAGATTCCCTACCTTCTCCTCTGAGGCAGCATACGTCTACAGGCTGCAGAATCTGGTGTGAATGTCCTTTTCCCAACCCATTCCACGCTGCTTTCCTTTTGTTCTCAAGAGCTACCAGTGTTTGGAGTTTGGGGTTTGGCCCTCGGTACCTGGAAAACGGAGAGCTTCTGTTGTGTGTGGCTTCCAGTTGTTCTCAGTGACTCCCTATTTCAGGCACAGACTCTGAACCCAGGGCAAAGGCCTGGGTGGGAGGTGTTCCCAGCATGCCTATGGTGCTGGCCACTGGCACACAGAGAGGGACCCTGGTGGGTGGGGACATCATAGTGACTCAATAGAAGCTGTTCCTTATCAGATCCGTGGAAATCTCCCCTCCTGTTGAGTTTTAGGCTAGATCCGCTATCTCTTCTGTCTATGGGTCCTGGAGGGACTGGGATGAGAGGAGAGACAGAGCCAGTTTTACCACATGCGCTGTGCCCAGCATAAACGAATAGACGTAACCATTGCAAAGGCTCCCAAAAGGATGTTCTTGAAAAGAATTGGGATCTCATCAACAGTTTGTGCAAAGAGCTGGAAGGGGCCCCACTTCCTGAGGAGAGCTGAAGATTGGGCAGCCTCAATACAATTAAAGTGAGCTGTGTTGATGTGGGGTCTCTTGCACCAGACTTGGCTTTATGGGGGAGTGACCTGGGAAGTGAAACAGTCCTTGTGCCTGAAGGGTCTTGGACTTTGCTTAATGCACTATTCTTGCTATCTTGGAATTTTTTGTGGTTTTTGAACAATGGCTTCTGCATTCTCATTTTTCAGTGGGCCCTGAAAGTTATGTTTTTGGTCCTTTCCACAGTCCAGATGAAGAACTTCTAGTTAATAATGTTTACAATCACAAGCATTTTCACTAGGGTTGAAGAATATTCTTCTAAGTGTAAAAAGTTATATGTAATTTTCCATGTTACAGGTACTCTTCCAATTATATGTACTCTTCTGTTCTACAAACAGAAAAAGTAATTTTAAAAGCTGTTTGGGATGGATACTATATCGGAGATACTGGTGTTAGAAAAATCTGACTCTAGGGGTATCCCTAGTGGCTCAGGTGTTAAAGTCTCAGTGCTATTAAGCTATCTCCAGCCATTGAGGTATGAGTTAGTTCCCAGGCCAGGGAGGTGACCCACATATGGCTCAGCGGACCTCTCCTGTCTCCACTGCTGCTCCCCTCAGCAGTGTATTTCAGTCAATCTGCCAGTTCTCCTCCACACCCTGTCCCTGGTGGATCCTTTACCCTTTCCCCCCTGCACCTCTGGCCTGTACCCCAGTTCTTATAGCATAAAAAAAGTAAATCTTAAAAAAAGAAAAGAAAAATCAGACTGTACCATGCTGGAATAAAGTCAAGTCTCAGCCTTGCCGCTTGGAAGGTCCTAACGCAGATCTGCAGGGTGTTTGTTGTTTCAGCCCTTCATGGTCTTCTCACTAGAAATAATCTTTCTTTTCCCCTTTTCTTTCTTTCTTTTTTAAAAAGATTTATTTACTTATGCATACAAGACCTAGGGTACAGGTCAGAGATGTGGGGTATGAGAGGATTCACCAGAGAGAGTGGGGAGCAGAACAGGTGGATTGACAGAAATACACTGCTGAGGGGAGCAGCGGGTGGGTCAAGAGAGGTCTGCTGTGCCATGTGGGTCACCTCCCTGGCCAGGGATTGGACTCATGCTGCAGTGGCTGCAGGTAGCTTCATAGTGGGAGGCCCACAAACTAACCTCTTTTGTTTCTATTTCAGGCTGGGCATGAAAAGAAAGAAATCCAGAGGGATGAGCTTGATGCTGAGATACAGGAAGGGCCCATGTCTAGGCCTCCTATGTTTGATCAAGCAACTTGAGTCCTAGGAAGCTGTTAAAGGGTAAGCTGGGAAATGAATGGTCACCCATTTTAGTCCACCCTCCAGTGTCTGAGTCTATGAATTCTTGTTGTTTTGTTTGTTTAGATTCCACATACAAGTGAGGTCCTACAGTGTTTGTCTTTCTCTGACTTAGTTCCCTTATTTCACAGGGTTAATTGATAACTTCACGCTTTTCTAACCTGCCTGTACCAGACCAGGGTCTGAAAGATATTTGTGTTGGTTGGTTGTGGCCACGTGGTTAAGCTCTCTGAACTTCAATTTTCTTTTTCTTTTACTTCAGCTTTCATGTCTGGAAAAAAGTTAGTAACACCCACTAGCCAGGTTTGTTGTTAAGATTAAATAATTGCTGTAAAATCCTTTACACCGCACTTCAAACATGGGAGGGATTCCATTCATACTCATTCTCTTATCCTTCCTTTCCTTCCCCTGCACTGCACCCTCTCTCAGGTACCAAGTAAAAGCTGGGGAATCACCTGGCCTCCTTTCTCTCCCTCATTACTAAAAATAATCAGAGACCATGTCCTGTAATTCCTGTCTCCTGTCCTGGACACACCCGGTAGCTCTTAGCTGAGCCCAGGCCTTCATCATTTTCCATTTTTACTGCAGTAACCTAATAAGTTATTCTCCCTACATCTAGCCTCATCCACTTCCAAACCATCCTCTATACTGTTGCTATTTCTGAAATGCAAATTTGATCATGTCTCTCCCCTGCTTAAAATTCTTCATTTGCTTCTCATCACCTTCAGGATAAAATCCAATCCCTTTAGCATGTCACACAGAAGTCCTTTATGATCTGGCTTCCATTTATCGTTCTGGCCTCATCTGTTCCCAGCCTTCTACCCTTCCCTAAGCTAACGTGTCCCACATTCGCTCTGGATGTGCTTTGGCATTTACAGTATCCTGAACGCTCACCTCTGAACATCTGCCCTTGTTCTGTCTGACTAGATAGTCTCAACACAAGCTCCACTTCTGACCTCCCTCCTCTGGCTCTCCTGACCCGCTTGGTCCCTCAGACCTGAGTGCAGATCACCCCTGGGGGCCCGTGGATTGGAGCCACACCTGTGCACATATGTTTGTCTCAGAACTTATGTTGCAGAGTGATTGTTTCTGATTCTGTCAATTAGCTGTGAGTTACTGAGGTCAAGAGCTGCATCTTTTATCTCTTGGATGCCTGGGTCATATATTATATATATGTCAGGCACATATAATAAATGCTTTGGGATGGAAAAATGATCTGATTTCAAACTCATGTTCTCATCCCACTCAGCTATTAAATAAGATGCAATAGTGTTTTTTGGGACAAAATGGATGGATTTTGAGGTGATTATGCTAAGCAAAATAAGTCGAGAGTGAAAGACAGTTACCAGATTGTTCCACTTATTTGTGGAATATAAATAACCAAAAAAAGCAAACTGGCAAAGCACAGTAAAAATAATTCTTAGACTCTGTGAAAAATATAATGGTTACCAAAGGGAGTGAGGGAGGTAAGGAGGGAGAAAAGGGGTGCGGACATTTGTATAGGAGTTTCGGTGGAGGGTGAATGAAGCATATATGGAAGTGTGAAAATGTACCCCCCAAAATGATATAATTATGTAAATAACTGACAAATTAATAAAATTTGAGGAAAAAATAAAAATCAGTGGGAAAAACAAGCAAGCAAGCAAAATCATGTTTTCCATGCAGCTCATGTCATTATTTGTGAATGCTTTTGTTAATTCAACAAACCTAGTGGTAGTCACTTTGTGTCAGGTGTTTTCTACAATGGAGGATCCATGCTGTCAGCTGGATTCACCCCGTTCCCCCTTTACGTGCTACCCCTTCACAGCCCATATCCTGTGCCATCCTCTCTCTCTGATGGGGAACCCATGAGTCTTCTAGTCTAAGTTCTGACTCTTTTCTGACTTCTAAACCCTCACTACCTGCTATTTATACCTGCCATTTTGCATTTGACATGTGGTCAGCCTAACTCAGCCTAATTTGGTCCATTAGACCAAATTTCTTGTCTGGTCCCAAGGTTCTGAATCAACACTTCTTTGAATCAGGTTCAGGTTCAGGTACCTTCTTTGCAACTTGTAATCTAGTTTTACTCTTTCTCTAAATTCACCATTGATCTTCTGTGGCCTACTGAATATTCTCTTATGCTTTTCCCAATCAATCTCCCTACCTATTGACTCCCTTACAGCTATTGACACAAGCTATGCGACTTCTGTCGCCCGACGAAGTCCAGATGGAAGGGAAAAGCTCTGAAAAATCAGAATTTCCATGCTAACTTATATTATGACCTCCCTTTTTTGTATAATCATAATATCAAAATATTCTGAGCAACCATCAGTTTACAACTGGATTGCCTTAGCCTTGTAAGGCACTGCCTGGCCCAGAGAAGTAGGCGCTGCCCCAGGGCGGGAAATTCCCTTTGAAGTAAAAAATAATTTTACAATTGGCTGGTTAATAAAAGCACCTGGCTGTTATAACAAAATCAATATTATAAAACTAGGCAGTACTAGAACATGTTAAAAAAATAACTAGAGCTCTTTTACTGCCCAGATAAGAACCCAAATCCCATCACTCTACTATTTTACTTAAGCTTTCTATTCTTTAGTCTTTAAATGAGGAACTTTACCATATCTCCTTTAGTGACTGATTTTCAAGAAAACTTCTCCACCCTCGCCCTCCACTTTACTTCACCTCTTTCACCTATGGGATGTCTCAATGCAAATGAAGGTCATTAAATAGTAATTAAGGTTAAAGGGACTTTATTTTAGCTAATCATCACTGTGGTAAATATAGCAATGTCAGTCTTAAAATTTATAAATTTATGTGCCTGTCTTAACTTTAATAGATTGATTTTAAGAATAATAAATGTTATCATCTCAGTTGAAGGTCAATACAACCCCAAACTATTCTTAGAAAAAAGAGATGATTGTGATCTC